GAGAAGCGTCGAGGGACAAGCCCTATCTGTCACCGGCCTCCCGCAGGGTCAGCGCGCTTTCTGGGGCCTTTTGTTCTGGCCAGAAGGGAGGCAGCACTGTGTGCCGTCCTGAAAATGTCCGTGTGGAGGCCGAGGGGGGACCTGGGAGCAGCCCCCTGCCTCCCTGACCCAGGAGCCCCGTGAGGCAGGGGCGGTGCAGCCCTCCCCGGGGAGAAAAGGCTTGAGATGGGCGGCGGGAATCCCAGCCAGGGCGGGCCGGGGGCCGGGAGCGCCGGGGGGGCTGGGACATGGTGGGGAAGCGGAGCCAGGGCTGAGGATCGCCCCCTGTGCCCTTGGCGAGGTCTGGCCCCGCTGGGCAGAGTGGGGCTGCCCGCCGATGCTGTCCGCCGGTGCTGTGGCTGTTACCCCCACCCACGCAACCCAGAGCTGTGCAGTCCCACGGTGCAGGCCAGGCCAGGGCGGGGAGCTGGGCCGCCCTGTGGGACAGGGAGCGTGTCCTGGGAGGGGAGAGGGGGCAGGCAGCCCAGAGCTGTGGGACCGCAGGCCGGTGCCAGTGCCCAGGTCCTGGGCAGGGGGCGGAGGGGCCGGGTCTTGCAATTAGGCCTGACGGCTGTCAGAGCACAGCTGCGGCCGCCTGTGCGAGTGACTAATGGGACCTGAATGTCGCCCTTGCCGCTTGTCTCCCGGCTGATGTGTCAGACCTGGAACCGGCCCGGAGAGGGTGCAGGGTCAGGGCAGTGGCCGGGCTGAGTCACTGTCCTGGGGGTAATGCGGGGGTCTGGAGAGGGACCCCAGGAACCAAGAGCACCCAGCAGGAGCCCGTGGCCTTGCCATGACATGGCGTGGGGGTCTGGGGAAGCGGGGCCCAGCGGTCACCCTGTGCGTCACCTCCCAGGGTCCTTTGGGCCTGCTGAGCCCCTGCCGCCACCACAGGCACATGCAAGCACCAGTGAGATGCACACGTGTGCAGAAGCACACACATACACATAGGCTCAGACGCATCATCACACACGTGTGTACACACATGCTTGTGCCCACCCCCCACACACCGGCACACCTTCACAGGCACCACGCGCATACCACCACACGGTCACATGTACACACATGTCTGCACATATATGTGCATATGCAACACACGTGCCAGCATATCTCCGCACACACCACCACATACTAGCGCACACGTTCAGTGATATACATGCCCGCACATGCACACACATTCACACACACGTGCTCACACACACACATTCACACACACATAAACGTCCACACGGAAGGGAGGCCTGCCTGGAGGAAGAGGGGCGGCCACCTGCCGGAGGACCTGGCAGCGTCTGGCAGGGGAGGGGAGCCAGGACGCCCCGGTGAGGGTGGGGGCCCTCGGAGGGGCCGGGGTGGGGGCCTGCCCCAGGCTCGCTGGGCGCGGGTCTGGCTTCCAACCACCCAGTTACCCCGAGGCGCACCCATCGACCGGCGGGCGGCCCAGGCGCCGACAGCCCCCGCCTGCCTTCTCGGCCTGCAGCCCGGCTCTGCCAGGGGCTCCACAGCTAATTGCACTGACATTTCAGCTCTGACAGGCTCTTGTGCCTTCTCCCACTGTGCAGGAAGGCAGGCCGCTCCCCCACCGTCCCCCACACGTGGGGGCCTCAGGCTGGGCGGGGCCTCTGTTTCTGCTGCCCCTCCATCTCTGCCCTCCCCTCCCCCCGGGAACTGGTCTCTGCCGGGGCCTCGGTAGCCACAGGAGGGGGCGGGGCCACCTCACAGTCCCCCGCAGCCCCGGGAACCACGGGGCCCAGGGACAGCCCAAGGTAGCCTGACGTCAAGCGTGCCCTCTGTCCTCAGAGTGGTGTGCGTCCCTGTCCTGGCAGGCCCTTCTCCCCACGAGGGGGACGCTGGTCCCAGGTCCGGGCTCAGGGTCCCGGGCCCAGGGGTGGGTGAGGAGAGGCATCCGGGGGACCTAGTCAGATGAGCTCTGTGTGCACCATCCTCCCAGGACACTAATGACATGCAGGTGACAGGGACCCTCCCCTGCTCACACCCTGCAAGCAGCCTCTGACGAGGATGCTGGAGCCGCAGCACCAGGCCCCCTGGCCCTGCGCCTCTACTCCCCTCGGCTGCTGCCTCTGGGCCCTGCCCTGGGAGGGGGCGAGGGGCGAGGGGCCGGGGGCGGGGGTCTGCAGCAGCAGGGAGCAGTTCCCAGGCCCGGGAAGGGGGCCCGAGGCCACGCAGCCAGGCCGAGAGCTGCGGATCCTGTCTGTGCCCCCGCCGGACCGGGTGCCCGCGCCGGCAGTGCGCCCGCTGTCATTACAGGCTATTAAGTTCCTGGAAGCCCTGGGGAGAGGCTGTGCAGAGAGCGCTGGGGCCTCGGTGCCCCCTCCTTGCCGCTGTAGCGATTCAGTGTGACTGAGGGGAGGGGGCGTGCAGGCGGGAGCCGGGGGGTGGGAGCCCTCCTCCTGTCCCCTCCATGCCAGCCCCCTCCCAGGTCACCCCAAAGCCTAACCCCTGACCTCGACCCCCGCCCCTGTCTCCCCTTCCTGCAAAGAGCCCCTCCCAGCCCTGCTCTGCTTTTTGGGGTCTGTTTACCCAGGGGTGCTGGCAGCGGATGCTGGTGGGCTGCCCCAGCCCCTGGGCCCCTGGAAGGGCAGTGTCCTGGGAGTTGGGGCCAGTGGCCGGGTGGCCCAGAGAGACCGCTTGCCTCAGCCTTCCTAGCTGCAGAATGGGTCTACAGGAGCCTCGCCTGTGAAGGCCCACGCCAGAGCTCGCCCTCCCGGGGAGCCTAGGGTGGAGGCTGGTGAGTGGGCTGGGGCAGAGGAGGGGCTGGAGGACCGTCCTGGAGCGTGGCGAAGGCTCTGCAGGACACCCAGGGACCCTTGGGTGTACGGACACCCCTCCAGCCACCTGGCTGCTCAGAGTGTGGAGTCCGGAGGGGCCACGCTTACCTCACCAGCCCCGGCCCTGGCTGGGGTTGCCTGGCCCCAGGGGAGAATGGAGAATGCTTAACTCTCCCGCAGCCCCACGCCGGCTCTGGTAGAAAAGGAATTAAGAAACAATATTTGTGCCAGCAGAAGACATTTGCCAAAAGGTTAAATCCACCCCAGCAGAGGCCCTCCCTCCTCCTGCGTATTTAACGGATCAGCCAGCCCCCCGCTCTGTGCCCACTTTGAGCCTAGGGGCGGGGCTGGCCCCACGTGTTTCTGGGTCCCCACAGCCCTCCCCGGGGGCACCTGTCCAGAGCTCCTGCAGGCCTAGAGGCAGGGCCAGAGGACCCGCTGCCGGGGTGCAGGGCCCAACCTGTGGGCCCGCCCGCAGGAGGAGTTCAGCCCCACCCCTCAGCTGTGGAGTTCGGGCGGATCCCGCCGGCACCGCTCTGCACACTCATCCTCCAGGCCCCGGCCAGGGGGTGAAGCCGGGAGCAGAGCAGAGGTGGGGGAGGTTAACCTCAGGGCCTAGGAAGAGTAGGCCTGGTGGGGTGGGTTGGTCTAGCTGGGTTTTGTGGGATGTGTAGGAGCTTGCTGGGAGAACAAAGGGATGAGGGATGGTGTCCTGGAGCCCCAAACGCTCGTGGAAGAGGAGGTGGGCATGGCCAGGGCGAGAAGATGGGCAGGAGCCGGTGAGGGGAGGGGCTTTCCTTGGCACTGAGTGAGCTCTCAGGCTGCTGCCCCAGGGCCCCAGGGAGCCACGGAGGGGTATGGAGCGAGAGAGGGGTGTGGCTGGAGCACTTTGGGGCACGGTCCAGGAGGAGGGGAGCTGTGGTAAAGAGCAGGGGGCTCCTGGGGTTCTGAGAGGCGCCGGGGGCAGGGGGCTGAGGCAACAGGGTGCCCGGCCAGGGGTGGCCCTGCGGGTCCCGCTGCGTCCACTGTGTCTCCCATGCTACCAGGTGCAAAAGGCCCACGTCCATGGCCACCCACGAGGCCCAGTCCCACTCTGGAAGGCCATGGCGGGTGGGCGGGTCTCCCGGTGTGGTCCTCCCCTCTCCCCACCATCCCTGCCTGACCCCGTGACGCCCAGGGTCCCTCCCTCAAAGGTCCTTTGTTGAGAGAGGAGCCCCCTCCCTGAAGGGCTTGGGGCCGCCCGAGTCCTGCCGTCAGCACCTCCACTCGCCTTTGCCCAAAGCCACCCTGTCCCTGCTCCCTGGGCCGGGGGAGCGATGCAGTGTCTGGAACTCAGGGGGACTCGTGCTCAGGTGCCCGGAGCCCCCGCATCCCAGAGCCCCCTGAAGCAAGGGCTAGGGACCCAGGGGGGCTTCAGTGAGGAGGAGGGTGGGGACCCAGGGACCTGGCCCCTCAGGGGTGGGTGGGCGCGTTCCTTTGGGAGCAGTCGGAGGGCCTCGTGGTGAGGGGGGCGGGGAGCGGGGGGTAGAGGTGGGCGAGAGGGGGCGGGAGGGGATGCTGTGTGGTGGGGCTGCCACCGGGGGGCCAGGGTCACACAGACCCACTATTGTCCCTGTCCCCAAGCCTCCTCCAGGCTGGAGGGATGAGCTCTTCTGGAACATTCTGGGTCCTGCTAGATGCCTGGGGACCAGGCACGGGGGCTGGGGTGGGGGCAGACAACACTTCTGCTGGCGAAGGGAAGGATCACCAGAACTGCAGGGGGTCTCTCTCCATTGAGGTGGGAGCCTGGGTCACTCCTCTGGCTTCCAGGTTCCCCGCAGCGGGGTCCTGGCGTGGCACCTCCCTGCGTCCCCTCCAGCCACCCCACCTGGTGGGGCTAGGGGAGCTCCAACTGTCCCCAGCCCCAGAGCACGCCCACCCCAGGGAGCAGAGATGACTCACAGCAGGGCCAGGCCGCCCCTGCCCCGGGGGCTGGTGACCGTGGAAGCAATTAGATTTAATGGGACAGTCTCGGGCGCCCGAGCCCACCCCGCCTCCCTCAGGCGGCAGCAGGCAGGAGCGGCATGTGAGGGAGGTGGGAGGTGGGAGCTGGGGGACCCGGGGGGGCTCTGACGTCAGCTCAGCCTATAAGAGGCCGCCTGGCTGAGGGCTGCGGACAGAGCCCAGGGCCCCAGACCTCGCCGGCATCATGCCCACTTCTGGCGCCGCCACGCCGCAGGCCAAGGGCTTCCGCAGGGCCGTCTCCGAGCTGGACGCCAAGCAGGCCGAGGCCATCATGGTAAGAGGGCAGGCTGGTGGCTGCTGGCCGGGACCTGCCAGAAGCCCGGGGTGCCCCCAGGCTCAGGGTCCACGAGGGTGACTTGGACACAGGCTGGGTGTGGGGTCCTGGCCGGGGCCCCTCCTCCGTCCAGGCTGCTGGTGGGCTGCGTGACTCTGGGCAAGTGGCCTGTCTGGGCCCGGCACGTGCGTGAGGGTGGCCCAGGCAGCAGCACAGCTCACGGTGGGGGTGCCAGCCCCTGGGGTCTCCCAGCCTGAGCCGAAGGGAGGCCTGGGCCCTGGGTGACCCTGCCTGCCAGGCACCCGTGTCCCCCAGCCCCTTGCCCTGCAGCCCTGGGCCTTCCGACCCCCGGGACATCCCCAGCCCCTTGCGCCCAGGAGCCCAGAGTCCCGGGGTGTGCACCAGGCAGATGCCCTCCGCCAGCCCCGCCATGAGACTGGATGGGGGGAGGTGCTCCTGGGCCTGGAAGGGGGGGTCCTCAGTTCATTCTCAGGGGCCCCAGAATAACCAGCTCCCTGCACGTTTAAAATGGGTTTTTGCTTTTAGACCTTCAGTGAAAACACGGTTTGAGTTCCAGAAATCTAATTCATGGGAACATTCTTAGCTGAGTCCTGCGTGGAGGCCCGGGGTCCTGGCTTGGTCCATACCCCCGAGGCCGAGTGGGGCCTCAGAGAGGGGGCCCCTGCGCCCTCCCCCGTGTTCCACACCTGAGCCCACCAGAACCTTCTTGGAAGTTCAGCTCCAAGGGATGAGCCCCACCCCATGCAGCTCCTCCTTTGTCCAGGCCTGGGGGGCTCTGAGTACGGGGGGCCAGACACACTGACCCCAGGGGCTGACAGTCTCAGGGACAGGGTGTGGACAAGGGCCCGCGAGTCCCAGGGGAGGGGAAGTGTGGCCAGGTGTCCCTGTGGGAGGAAGGGCTGTGAGGGGCCATGAGGAGGGGTCACTGCTATGGGCAGCTCCGTGGAGGGACGTGCTCCAGGTGGGGCGGCGCCCTGCCCAGCAGCCAGACGCCACGCTCAATGTCCCCCACCCTACTGTCCATCTGGGGGCCGAGGGGCGGCAGATGCAGCTCCTGAGTCACTGCTTCCTGCCGCCTAATTCAGTTAGGGCCAGGCGACACAGCATCTCGGTGCCATGGGTGCCCCCCCGCCCCACCCCTCATGGCGCCGGGAGACCTGGACTGGGGTTCTGCCCCGCCAGCCGGTACCCCCCCCCCGGGGTACACAGCAGGCTGCACAGCTGGGCTGGCAGGTCAGAGGCTCAGGACCCGGGAGAGCTGGGCTGCCCTGTCCCCACAGTCCCCGCGCTTCATTGGGCGGAGACAGAGTCTCATCGAGGACGCGCGCAAGGAGCGAGAGAAGGCAGAGGCGGCGGCGGCGGCGGCCTCAGAGCCCGGGGAGGCTCTGGGGGCTGGTGCCTGGGTGGAGAGAGATGGGCAGGCCCAGCTGAGTCTGCTCTTCACCCTTCGGGGCGCCAAGACCACTCCGCTCTCCCGGGCCCTGAAGGTGTTCGAGGTGAGGGAGTCCGGGGCCCACTGTGGGCCCCTGGGGGGCCAGGGTGGGCAGGACTGAGGGCTCCGCCCAGGCCACTGAGGGCCACAAGAGGAGAGGGTCCTAGGAGTCCTGGGGGCCCCGACAGCCCCTGTCACACTGCCCAGGTTCTCAGGAACCCGCTGAAGCGTCCCAGCTGCTTGGGTGGGTGGGTGGTTGTGGCCCCCAGCAGGGCCGTCAGGGCTGGGCTGCCCTGCCCGCCGGCCCCCAATGGGCGCCGTGGCGGTGGTTGCACTGGCAGCCCTGGACACAGGGCAGCCAGCCGTCGGCACCGGCTCCCAAGTGACATTACAGCCAGACTCCACTTCCAAGCTCTGTGGGGGCTGCGTGGCCCGAGGGCCACGGAGCCCCAGCACCCTCGTTGCTGGGTGACCAGCGCTGGCAGAGGAGAGAGGAGTGGACCCTGCCTGCCAGCCCCCGGGCTCAGTGTCACTCAGCAGGAGTCTGAGCCTCCTGGCCTCACCACAGGGGGGTGCAGGGCCCACCCCAACCCTGGCTGTGGCCGGCGGGACCTTCTGACCAGTGGCCAGGAAGTCAGGCTGTCTGAGTATGGCCGTGGGACCAGACAGCACTGCCCAGAACAGGGGGCAGCTGGCGGACACACGTGGCAGAACCCCGCTCCCTGCCCAGGCCGGGGGGCTGGTCTCAGCCTGGAGAGCCGGGTGCCCATCCAGCAGGGCAGGGCAGGCGACCCAGGGTGCTTCCCCCCACCCCCACCCCCGTCTGCCCATCTCTCCACCTCTCCCTTCCTCTCCCTGCTTTTCTTCCTTAAGACTTTCGAAGCCCAAATCCTGCACCTGGAGACCCGGCCTGCCCTGAGGCCGAGGGCAGGGGTCCCGCACCTGGAGTACTTCACACGCTGTGAGGTGCCCAGCGCCGACCTGCCCGCCCTGCTCAGCTCCCTGCGCCGGGTGGCGGAGGACGTGCGTGGCGCCGGGGAGAGTAAAGGTGTCTGTCCTGAGAGCTGCCCTGTGACCCCAGAGCATGGGGGAGGGGACAGGGAAGGGGACCCCCTGCAGTGACCGGGTGGCATGGTCAGGGACTCCGTCCCTGCTGGTTCTGCCCTCCCGTCCCCCACCTCTGTGTCCTGGCCTGCGCACCTCAGTCTGTCACCATCTGGGGCCCCCTCCCGTGGGCTGGCCAGGGAAGGCCACTGCCAGGGTGGGCTGAGCTCTGCCCGCAGCTGGACACTCACTGGGCCCACCCGCTGTGCAGTCCTCTGGTTCCCAAGGAAAGTCTCCGAGCTGGACAAGTGCCACCACCTGGTCACCAAGTTTGACCCGGACCTGGACTTGGACCACCCGGTGAGCTGGTGCCTCTCCAAGGCCACGAGGCCCCTGCCCTGGTGGCTGGGTGGTGGGTATGGCCCCCGGGCTGACCCCAGAGGGGGTGCCGGCCCCCAGCAGCTCCTGCCCAGACATGGTCACGCCTGGGCCGAGGGGCGGGGGAGGGCCATGGGGGCGCTTCCTGAGGTGCGTCCACTCTGCCACCAGGGCTTCTCCGACCAGGTGTACCGCCAGCGCCGCAGGCAGATCGCTGAGATCGCCTTTCAGCACAAGCAGTAAGGACGACACTGCTGGGGGCCTCGGCCCCGGGGCCAGACCTGATCTGGGGTGGGGGGCGCCTTTGTCAACGTCCCTGCCACCTCCACTGTCCCTGCCGTCACCCTGTGACTCGGGGTCCCAAGATTATCGAGGTGCAGTGAGGCTAACCAGAAGCTACCTGGTGGCCAGAGGTTCAGCCCCACCTGGCCCTCCCCGCCCACCCTGACGCTGCCCCGGAGGGGCCCTGACAGACTGCTGCCCCTCCGCAGCGGTGACCCTATTCCCCGTGTGGAGTACACCGCGGAGGAGATCGCCACCTGGTGAGACCCCACGCTGCAGCTGGGGCAGGCTGGGGAGGACAAGGGGGCCTCGCTGCACCCCGCAGTCCCGTGCTCCTGGGCAGAGGCATCCGGCAGGGCAGACAGAGGCCAGCAGAGGGGCTCCTCCCGAGGCCCCAAACATCAGCCTGGGAGGCAGGGCACCGCCCTCGGGTGGGTCATCCAAGGAACTGAGGGCCCCCCAGCCCTGCCTCTGGGCCCTGGTGGCCCCCAAACTACGGGCAAGTGTCCTCCCGATGGCCGAGGGCTCCAGGGGCGGAGGTGGGGCCCATGGGTGGCTCTGCGAGGGCTGAGCACCCGGCCCCACCCGCCCGAGCAGGAGGGAGGTGTACACCACCCTGAAGGGGCTGTACGCCACCCACGCCTGCCGGGAGTACCTGGAGGCCTTCGGGTTGCTGGAGCGCTGCAGCGGGTACCGCGAGGACAACATCCCCCAGCTGGAAGACGTCTCCCGCTTCCTGAAGGGTGCGCACCCCCGAGGGCGGGTCCAGGCGGGGCAGGCCCGGGCACGGCCCGCCCCCTGGTGCCCCTCCTGAGGCCCTGACCGCCTGCCTGGCCCGTGCAGAGCGGACCGGCTTCCAGCTGCGGCCCGTGGCCGGTCTGCTGTCCGCCCGGGACTTCCTGGCCAGCCTGGCGTTCCGCGTGTTCCAGTGCACCCAGTACATCCGGCACCCCTCCTCGCCCATGCACTCCCCCGAGCCGTGAGTGCGGCCTGCCCGCGTGTGGGGTCGGGGGGCAGGGGGCCAGGCGCCCCCACCCCGGTGCACCTCCTTCTCCCTCCCCCCACAGGGACTGCTGCCACGAGCTTCTGGGACACGTGCCCATGCTGGCCGACCGGACCTTTGCTCAGTTCTCCCAGGTGTGTCCTCGGGGCCTCCGGCCAGGACCTGGGTCAGCCGAGGGGCTGTGGGCCCGGCCTAGGGCTGGGGCCACCCGGAGCTTCGCTCCCCCAACCCCGGCACCGTGCCTGAGTCTCCCTTGGCTGGCCTATGCCTGCTGGAGCCCGTGGGTGGGCTCCGCCCCCAGCGGGAAGACCACCCCATACAGACAAACAAGCAAGTACCCTTCGCCAAGTGTGAGCCAGGGCCCTGCAGCCAGGGGACGGCTGGGGTGGGTTCCTGCAACCTGGGCTGCCCCCTGCTGGTTCCCCGAGGAACAGCACAGAGCCATCCAAGGGCTCCGGCCCACCTGAGTCCAGGGCCCTCTGGGGCTGAGGACATCCCAGTGCCCTCAGCTTACGCAGGTTCCCCGGGCAATGGCGGGGGAGCCCCTCCTCCGTCAGCCTCCTCCTCCCTCCAAAGGACATCGGCCTAGCATCCTTGGGGGCCTCGGACGAGGAGATTGAGAAGCTGTCCACAGTAGGTTTCTTCCCCGGCGGTGCCTGTGGGTGGGCCCTTCCGTCTGGGCTGAGGGCTCTGCTTCTGTGCAGGGAGTCTGACCCTCACGCTGTGACCGCCGGGAGCCTGGCCTTGCTGCCTGGGTGGGCGGCGTCCTGGGGCCGGGTAGGGGGCAGGAGGGCAGGGGCAGTGGGGGGCAGCCGCCCTCCAGCCCGCGTCTCCCCGCAGCTGTACTGGTTCACAGTGGAGTTCGGGCTGTGCAAGCAGGATGGGCAGGTGAAAGCCTACGGGGCCGGGCTGCTGTCCTCCTACGGGGAGCTGCTGGTGAGCCCCCGCAGCGCCTGTCGGGCCCCTGGGGAAGGGCAGCCCCCTCAGCAGGGCCAGGAAAGCTTGTCTCAGCCCCTCCCTGCGCGCACTGCCCAGGCCCAGGGCGGTGGACCCGGGGGGGGGGGCCGCCAGCCACCCACAGTCGATCCCCAGGGGTGCTGGGGAGCCGGGCCCTGCGACCTGCGCCCTCCCGCCAGCACTCCCTGTCGGAGGAGCCCGAGACCCGGCCCTTCGACCCCGAGGCCGCGGCCCTGCAGCCGTACCAGGACCAGACCTACCAGTCCGTCTACTTTGTGTCCGAGAGCTTCAGCGACGCCAAGGACAAGCTCAGGTGGGCCAGCCCCCCGGGCTGCGACCACCCCCGGTGCCCTGAGACTGGGCCGGCCAGGTGGGCAGGCCGGGCCTGTGGGCCTGGTTCCAGAGGCAGACACCGCAGACGTCTCAGTGGTGATGCCCCGCCACGGCAGCACCCCGAAAGTTCCGGGGCGGGGAGACCTGGCAGGCTGATGGCCAGGTCAAGGCCAGGCTTCACAGTGGCAGAGTCTGCCTTTTGTGAGAAGGGTCTGTGGGGCCCCTCCCAGCTCCTGCCTCCGGAGTGGCTGAGGCCAGGGCCTGGGGTGGAGAAAAGGGGTAGGGAGTCCGGGGATGGGCGCCCGAGGGAGTGAGCAATTCCCAGGGCAGGGGGCTGGGGTGCAGTGGGGGTTGGGCAGAGCCTGACATGCCCCGCCTCTTTGTCCCGGGGAAGGGCCAAGCTGTTGCTGTGCCAGGGGAAACTGAGGCCCACAGGCTGTGCACCCCGGAGCAGGGCCAGGGGAGGGTTGGGTCCCAAACAAAAGCTTAAGGATGGAGACAGAACTGGACTGTCCAGGGCATGTGGTCAGGGAAGGCTTCCTGAAGGAGGGGGTCTGGCTGAGCTGGGCCCTGGGGAGGAGCAGGGAGGGGTGGGGTGTATTGGAAGCTACAGACCCCGCCCCAGGCTGCCTCAGCCCCTCCCTGCCCCCCGCCCCCAGAGGCTCCCCGAGTCCCCACCAGGTGACCAAAGGCCCTTGACGGCCCGTCCCCAGGAGCTACGCCTCGCGCATTCAGCGTCCCTTCTCTGTGAAGTTTGACCCGTACACGCTGGCCATCGACGTGCTGGACAGTCCCCAAGCGGTCCGGCGCTCCCTGGAGGGCGTCCAGGACGAGCTGCAGGTCCTCGGCCACGCACTGAACGCCATCGGCTGAGTCCAGCGGCAGACCCTGGAGTCCGGGGGGCTGGCCTTCGGTCTCTCGGCCCTTCCTGGCCTCCCTGGCCCCTGTGGGGGACTGGGTCACAGCTCCCCAAGTGCTTGCCAGAGGCCCTCCCTGCAGAGAGCACCTCGTGACCCCGCTGCCCTCCTTAGCTCCGACCGCCAGTGCCCTCGTCCCGTGTCCCCCGCGATGCTGTGTGCTGCCCCTTTGCAACCCTAATAAAGAAAGAGGCCCCATGCCTGCCTGTCTGGTGTCCACGCCACGCGCCCCCCAAGCCCAGGCCCGTGGGCCCTCCCAGCCTTGCTCAGAGGTCGCTCCTCCGCCCTGTCCTCCTGCGAGGCCTTACCGGGCAGCATCACCCTCGCGGGCTCTCAGGCCTGCCCCCTGCAACTGCAGAGGGCAGAGGGGGTTCGGGCTGGGAGGTCCGTCTCTGTGGTGGCGCAAAGTCAGGGCAGGGCCCACGCGAGCCCCATGGGGGGTGGGCGTTGGGGGCAGGGCCACCACGGTCCACACGGAGGAGGTCAGGTTCCCGGGGTCCAGTCTGTGAGAGCAGGTGGGGTGCAGCAGCCTCTGACCCCTGCACCGCACCCCACCCGAGCAGGGCCTAGGAGCTCCCCAAATGGGAGCTGGCTCCCAGGTGACCTCTGGGCCTCCGTCCCTCCAGCAAGGCGGTGGCGGTCTGGGTTCCAGGCTCTGGCCTGCAAGGTCCCTCGAGGGGCCCGACCTGCCCCTCCATCTAGGCCCCTGCCCCCTCTAGGAGCAGCCCGGGGCTGCCGGGCCCCTTCCTTCCCGCGGCGTGGGGACATGCCAGACCCCCGCCGGGCCTTGCCCCAGCCCCCCGCTGCCCCAGTGACGCTGCAGAGCCCTGGCTCTGACCGCTCAGGGTGTCAGGCCTGGAGAACCCCCGCTCAGCCGTCAAGTCCCTCCTGGGCAGATCCTCCTCCCCCAGCCCACCCTGGGGGTCGGTCCTTCCTCAGCTCTGCCTCGGTGCCTGACCCTTCAGCCCTGCGAGGCCCGAATTTGGGCTGGGAGCCCATAGAAACCGAGGGAGGGGCGTGGCCGGTGGCTGGCCTCACCTCCCTCCGGCCCCACCGACCCCGGGCTCTGTCCTTCACCTGCCCTGCTGCCCTCTCTGACAGGCCCCGGGCCAGCGTGGTCCCTGGAAGGCAGGGCTGGGCCCTTGCGCTGCCTGCCGCCCAGAGGGCAGGAGGCAGCAAGAGGCAGGTTTCGGGGCGGGTGGGCCTCCCTTTTCTGCCTGTTTGGAGGGGCTGAGGGGCAGCGCAGGGGCTCAGCCCAGGGGATCGCCGAGCGGGACGATGGGGTTGCGGGGCCAGGCCTGAAGGGGTCGGCACAGGGAGATGGCAGGGACTCCAGCAGGAGGTGCAGGAGCCGCGAGGGCGCCTGGGTGGGACGGGGCCGGGCCCGGTCCACGGAATCCTGGGTCCACAACGCGGAAGGGGAGCGGCTGCCCCCACACTGAGGCTGAGACACGGGGTCCTCTGCTGGTCTCAGGGCCGCTGGTCCCCAAGGTCAGCCTCCCTGCAGAGCTGGGGGCCACGCCGGGCAGGGTGGGGACCAGCGGCAAACAGAGAGCTGTCCCTCCCTGTCCCTCCCTCTCCCACACCCATAGCCTAGACCGTCCAGGGGTCCTTGAGGGTGGACCGGGGTCGGAGGGCAGGGATCCGGGCCTGGGGCAGGAAGAGCCCCTCCTCTCACCCCCTGCTCCCTGAACTAATGTGGAACCTTGCCCCAGCTCCTGGGGAGCTGTTTGCCCCCTGCCGAGTGGGGCACAGGGCCATCAGGCCCCTCATTACGATTCTAATGAGCCCCGGGGCCCCAAGAGCTGCTGACGTCCAAGGCCCAAGGAGAGGCTCCTGCAGACCCGGCATCAGGCAAATGATCCAGAAATTGCAGCCTCAGCCCCCCACCCCTGTCCCCCCTCAGCCATCTGCCACCCCCCGGGGCTCTGATGGGCCAGGCGGCCGGACTATAAAGCTGGCCTGGCCCAGCAGCCCCCAGCCCTCCCGGACCGGAGACATTCAGAGGCCGAAGCAAGCAGGTCAGTCAGGGGACTGCGAGTCAGCCTGGGTGGGGGCCGCCCTGCTGGGGTCCCGGGTGTCTGGGCTCTTCCCTTAGGGCACTTGGGGGCCAACGCCGGCCGCGTGCCCCTCACTGGCCTCAGCCCCACTTGTTCCCAGGTGGTCGACGCCCCGCCATGGCCCTGTGGACGCGCCTCTTGCCACTGCTGACCCTGCTGGCCCTCTGGGCGCCCGCCCCCTCCCAGGCCTTCGTCAACCAGCACCTGTGCGGCTCCCACCTGGTGGAGGCGCTGTACCTGGTGTGCGGGGAGCGGGGCTTTTTCTACACGCCCAAGGCCCGCCGCGAGGCCCAGGACCCGCAGGGTGAGCAGCCGCCCGGCCCCTGCCCGGTGCCTCGGGAGGGAGTTTAAAATGGCAGCGACGCTCCCTCGGTCACACCCTACAAGTGGCCAGCTTACTGGTCAGTGGGGGCAGAGGCCGGATGCCGCCCAGCGGTGGGCTCGTCCACTGCCCCATCCGCCATCGGCACCCGGCCCCTCGCACAACTGCCCCGTCCGCTCCTCCCCACCTCTGGGTGCCGGCTGTCTTGGGGAGACCTGGGGGCCGATGGGGGTGCCCCACCCTCACGCCCAAATGCCCGTGGAGCCCAGGAGCTGGGGCAGGCTCCGAGGAGGCCAGGATGGGGGGGCGGGTCCGTGGCAGGCACCAGGGGCACCTGCTCAGGTCCCCTCAGTGGAAGGCACCACCCCAGGGCCCGATAACAGGGTGACCCGACCCGGGGCGGGGCGACGGCCCTGCTCTGGGCCCTGACTGCGCCCGTCTCTCCCGCAGCCGGGGAGGTGGAGCTGGGCGGGGGCCCGGGTGCGGGCGGCCTGCAGCCCCTGGCCCTGGAGCGGGCCCTGCAGAAGCGCGGCATCGTGGACCAGTGCTGCACCAGCATCTGCTCCCTCTACCAGCTGGAGAACTACTGCAACTAGCGGCGGCTGCCCCGCACCTGCCCCGCACCTGCCCCGCACCTGCCCCGCATCCCCACGTCCCCGTGTCCCCGCGTCCCCGAGACCCAATAAACCCTCAACCAGCGCTGGTGCGATTATTGTCTCTGTCCTGTGGCCACGGCAAGGCTGGGGGGCCAGGTGTGCCAGGGTGGGGTGGGGTGCGGCCCACCCGCCGGTCCTTCCAAGCTTCCTCCAGGCTTGCCGGGTGCCCGTGGGCACGTGGCGGGGTCCCCCAGGAGGCCAGCTCCTGTCAGCTGCCCACGGTTCCCTGCCCCAGGTCAGTAGGAGGACTCAGGGCCCCCTGGCTGCTTCAGGACGGGACAGAGAAGGGTTGTGGGGGTCCCTGGGAGGCTGGGGGTGGGGGCCGACTGGGAGGCGACACTCTCAGCTCAGAGGCCCCCGGGAGCTTCCCTCCCAGCTCGCCCCAGAGGTCTCCCTGCAGGGCTGTTCCTGACGGAGGCCTGCCTCTCTGAGGAAAGGGCCTGGGGTGGGGGTAGGAGGCTAGGGGCAGGGGACAGAGAAAGGCACAAAGGCACAAGGCACCCAGTGCTGGGTGGGCCTGGGGCCACCAGACACCCAGCCCAGACCCAGTCAGAGGAGCCCTCTGGGCCCAGTGGGGGACTCCGGAGCGGCCAGACAGAATCCCCGAGCCAGACAGACTGCCACTGACTCTGGGCAGGGGCCTGGGACCCGGCGAGTGGGACATCCTGGCTGTGTCCCCCGGAAAACAGTGCCCGGGCCCTCTCCTCTGACCACGAAGCCGCATCGCTATGCTCCGCACAGGCGGCCCCCGCAGAAGCCCCTTCGGGGCCTGGGCATGTGCCCTCCAGGTGCATGTCCTTGGGGTCCTGACCCCTCCTGGGCACCCACTGCAGCCCAGGGTGGCCCCACAAGGCGCTCTGGGGACCGCCTGGCTGGCTGTGGGCTGGGAGGTCAGCGGGTGACCCGGACCCCCAAGGCCAGCCTGACGGCCCCCTGGGCCAAACCAATCTGCACGGCTCCTGAGGCCCCACCCAGGCCTGGGCCCCGCTGCCGAGGACCACCCCAGCCTCCCGCAGGGGGCCCAGCTGTGCACCCTCCCTGCAGCCCTGAGCTCTGTCCCAGGTCGCCCCTGCCCACCCCAAAAGGGGGTGCCTCAGGCCCCCAGCTAGCCCCACCCCAGGAGCGGGGGCCAGGACTGAGCAGATGGGTGGACGCAGATTTGGGACCCAGAGGAGGAGGAGGAGGAGGAGGTGGTGGGATCATCTGAGACTGCTCACGGGGGCAGCCAGGTGCCCCATTAGCCCCGGCAGAGGCGGGGGCGCCCTGCAGGAGTTGAGGTGTGTGAGTTGGTGGGTGGCCAGGCCTGGAGCAGCTGGGGTGGGAAGCAGGCTGGTGGGAAGGCTGCCCCCCAGGTGGCCGCTGGCCCTGCTGGCCTGGAGACCCTGGGGAGTGGTCCGGAGCTCAGGGGCCAGCACACTCTGAGGAGGGGGCCCAGGGGCATGGGGGCCATGCCAGCTGGATGGACTCCTGGCCTGAGTGGCCTGGGTGGGGAGGACAGCCCACCCAGGAATCTCGGTCATGGGGTGACAGGTGGGACCCCCATGCTCCCAGCACGGATGAGACCCTGGCTGCGGAGTCTGACCCTGGGCTCTGAACCCCAGATGCCCAACTTCTCGGAGCCCCCCAGTCACCCCATGGAAGCCAGGCCCAGGGGCTGTGGCCCCACCGTTGGTCCAGGCCACGCTCCGCCCCTCCTGGGAACTGGGAGGACGGTCCTCCCGGGCCCTCAGGCCCTGCCTGCCTTTGGCACCGGCAGTGGGCTCAACTGCGTCCAGCCCTGTGCGCCACCCTGGTGTGGGGGGCAGAGGAGCAGCTGCCCCCAAAGTCCTCTGACACGGTTGGTCCCCTGCCCCCTCACGAGAGGCTCGGACCTCCCAGGGGACCGCACGGCGTGCTGCCTGCCGTTGCCCCCGTGTTCCTAGTGGGGACCCTGAAGCCAGGCCGGGACGCCTGTCCCTCTGGTGCTCACAGCCCAGGGACGCCCGGCCAGGGGCGCCGCCCCCAGGCCTCTCCCCAGCCGTCTGCTCCTGGCGCGGGTGAGCCGGCACCTCCGCCCGGCCAAGGGGCAGTGCTTGCCCCCTCCTGCTGGCAGTAAATATTTACCGTCCTCACAGGTCTCCAGGCCTGAGGGGCACCAGACGGGGTGCAGGGATGCTGGGCGGGGGCCCTGCCCTTGAGGGCCCAGTGCCCAGTGGGGGCCGCCTGGGGAGAGGGAGGGGGGCCAGGAAGCAGAGCTGCTGGAAAAGGCCCCCTGGCCGAGCCCAGGCTGAGCCCTGGCTGGCACCTGTGTCCAGTGAGGCTGTGAAGGGGCACCTGTGCCTCTGTCCTGAGGAATTCTCCCCGGGCTCAGGGCGGACCAGGCCCCCAGGACAGGCCGTTTTGCTAGGTCCATGCTGAGCAAGGTGGGCAGAGCGGCCTTTCACAGGAATGACCAGCAGAGGGTGCCAGAGCCCCACGTTTGGGGCACATCCCTGGCTATGGGGGGCTGTCCTCTCTGCAGGGTCAGCTGCCTACCTGCAGGGCCCCCCACCCCGGGGTGCCCAGGGGGCCGTCTGGAGGCCTGGCGGGTCAGGAAGGAGGCTGCATGTTCGGTCTCAGGCCCCACAGTCACGGGCCTGGGTGTCCTGTGGAGGGGGGGGCTGGACAGAGGGGCTGGGTCCCCGACATCCTGGGAAAGTCCCCAGTGAGAGTGGGACCCCAGGTGCCCAGAATCAGAGACGTGGCAAGTCCCTCGGGGCGACCTCCCCCAACTCCCCACATGAGAGCCGAGCAGCCGAGGCAGCAGGAGGCCCTGCCGGAGCCTGGGCTGGGGGTCTCTGGGCCCCGGGAAACCGAGACTGGCGCTGGCGGGTGGTTGTCACTGTCAGGCCAGGCGGCCCTCTCAGCCCCTGGAGCCAGAAGGCTCACGGGAGGTGGGGCTCTGGGGACAGGAGACCTCAGGCAGGGGTCGTGCTGGGTCGGGGTCAGCTCTTTCCCATGTCCTCCCCATGCCCGCCTCCCCGCCCAGTGCGGAGCAGTGAGGGGTCAGTTCCAGAAAGAATGTGGAGGGTGCCCAGGAACTGTGGAGGCAGCGAGCAGGGTGGGGGGCAGCCCGCCCCCGGCCCTGCAGGCACTGTTGCTTCTGGCTGCTGCACAGGAACCACCAGGCAGGGGCCTCACAGTGGAGGGACCCCCGCAGGGCCCCCCACGCCCTCCGGTCCTCAGCTCACCTTCTGCCTCAGGCTGCACCCGCCCTGCCCAGGCTCCCCGTCTGCAGCCCCCCCTCGCCTTTGGGGGACTCTACCCCCTACCCACGGATGGGCCTCTGAGGCTGCCCCCGGAAGCTGGGCTTGGGGTCAGTCCCCACACCCGAGGCCCCGGCCCACGTGCACCGGGCTGCTGACCTATCAGAGAGGGAGCCTCGTTCCAGCCCCTCACAGCCCATCTGTGTTTTTGGAAAACAGCCGGTGCCCTGCAACCTGCCGGCTCGGGGTTGTCCCGCTGCGACCCAAAGTGTTTGTTCTTCCAACTCTGTCCGGCTTCAGAACCGGCCTCCCCCAGCACGGCCGCCTCCCGGTCCTCGGACGGGCCCTTGCTGCTCCGGCCTCAGGCTTCGGGCTATGGGTCCGTCCGCATGTGGGCAAGAACAGGACGGGGAGAGGGCAAACCCAGACCCCCCGGGCTGAAGCTGTGGCCGTGAACCTACAGTCCCGGCTGCCCCGGCTGCCCCGGCTGCCCCGGCCCCTCCCCAGCTCTCTTCTCAGGACCGATACGCCCAGTCTGTCCCGGGTGCTGATGAGGGTGGGCTGCACATGTATCTCTTCCCTCGAGGCCGGCGGAGTGGGTTCGTCCTGCTGCCCGCCGGTCACCCGTGCCTCCCAAAAACCCTGGTCATCTGTGGGGAAGGAGGGGACAGAGAGGCCACAAACGGAAGAGGGGAGGGCTGCGCGCCCCTACCTCAGCTCCAGCTGTGGTCAGAGCAGAGCAGGAGGCCAGATGGGACAGGCAGCCTGGGGGGCTTCCTGGAGGAGGTGTTCCCACGCAGCTGCCTTGACCTTGAACAAGAGTCCAGGTGGGGCTGTCAGTGTTCAGGGCACAAACTCAGCCCAGGGTTCAGCTACGGTTCTAGCCCTCTCTCCCCTCCCTGGAGCCATGGTCCCCCAGACCCTCCCCCATGGCTGGGCATGGGTCCCACCGAGCCAGAAAAGAGGGAATAGGCTAAGTTTGGGACACAAGGGGCTCCTTCCTGGGGGTCCCTCATCTCCAGGCACATCCTCAGCATTAGGGCCCCCACACCGGTGCGAGGAGTGGAGGGGGGCAGCCGGTGGGCCAGGCAGGCCGGGGCATCTCCGGGCTCTGCCACACATGGCCGTGTGCCTCAGTATCCTCATCCATGCTGATGGACATGGAGGGCGTGCCCCTCCCAGAGCCTGGGACTCTGGTTCCAGCTGCCTCCCCGCCCCACACATAGCTCCTCCCCAAGTGGGGCACTCGGGCAGTCTCGAGCTTTACCCCCGCCCCCGTCCCTGCATGGAGCTTGCCCCCTGTGGGCTGGGCATGTAGGTGAGGGCCGGGGCAAGCCGCCGGTCGGCCATGGCCTCGGGGCACCCGGCTGCACTCTGGGGCTTCTCCCTTGTGTCTCTGGCAAGTGGCTCCCTCGGTGGGCCTGGATGCCTCGGGGACAGCCCCGTGGGCCTGGGTCTGGCTCTGCCTTGAGAGTTGCAGGCCAAAGGAAGCTGCAGGTAAAGCAACAGTGTCCCTGGTGACCAGCTCCCCGGGGGAGGCGGCCAGGGCTGGGTGAGAGGGGGCTTACCACATGGAACAGGTGGAAGAGGTGGAAGGCCCCAGAGAGCCAGGCCAGCGAAGAGGCCCTGCAGGGGAGGGCTGGGCAGCTCCCCAAACACCAGCCTGTCATCCCTTGTCCACCCTCAGAGCCCCCTTGGGGGCAGCTTGCCTGTGAAAGCTGCTGGAGGTGGAGGGTCTCTGTGGCCATCTGTCCTG